TGTTTTCTCTTATAGTCTCTTATATTAAAATAATATAGCATGGAGACATATTCAACACTAATGTAACAATAATGTAAGTGGACAGAATTATCATAAATTCTAGAGATGGCTAAATTCTACAACAAAATCTTTCTCCTAAAATCTTTAGTATGTTCTAAAACCTTGTTAGTCTCATATTTCATTTTTAGTAGGATTAAAAATAAATATAAAGCATAAATATGGGAAAATGATATATATGTAAATACAAAAATATAGTCATAATATTTCCAATTTATAAAAAGTGAGAAAAGCCAAAATGGAAATTTCCAGATGTCTTCAATTTAACGGTAAGAAAATGACCCTTTATCTCATGCACACAGTGATATGGATTGGCAAAAAGCCTAAATGTGAAGAGCAGAGGTAGTTCATTTTTATAGCATTATCTATATATTGCTATAAAATATATATTGTTATAAATATATATTGCTATATGTATATATGTGAAGTTTTTTATATCTTTATGTTATTTATTTTAGAGTTGCATATTCTGTCCTGCCATATAACATAGATACTTCATAACATAGAGTACATGAAGTGCTAAGAAATAATCAACATAAAAGACACTAATTAAATGAAATGAAGGCACAATTAATAGAATACCAAATTATTTAAAAAATGGTTGGAATTTATTACTTTCAAAATTTGCAGACTTCTGCCAGATGGTACTTGGAATCATTTACACTAGTCATGTAACTAACTCGCGTCACTTTGTAGGGGAGGCTTGAAAAAGAATGTTCACAGTGAAATCGTGACATTAATCATGTGAAAATGGAGAAAATATTTAAGGGCACAGAACAATGTCTATGCTGTGAAATAATATTCTAACATAGCGATTTATGGCAGCAAAATTAACCCGTTTTATAGATTATAAATATTTGTAATGATATAGCTATGAATGCCGCTTATATAAATATTTAAATTGTGATAACATGTATCTTACCTTTGTAAGCACATGAATGAAACCATTAAGTGTAAAATTTAAAATAATTCTTCAAGGATTATGAGAATATAATTAGGAATATAACTAAGAATATAACTAAGAGTCAAGAAGGATGCTTGACTATTCTTTTGAATAATGATATTGTGTTTTTAATGGTAGTAGTTAATTTATTTTTTTGTATGCCAGATAGATGAGAAAAGAGAGAAGTCATGTGAAAGTCAAAGAACAATTTGAAGAATTTCTTTGTTATTTTTAACAAGTGGGCTATGGAAACCTAGCTGGTTATTATCCTCATTGACAGAAAGTATCCTTATTCACTGAGTCAACTCACCATATTTGCAATATTTTTTAGGCATTTTCATGTCTGGAAGCAAAATAATGTAAAGTACATATAAATGCCTCAATCCCATTCTAGAAAACTTGTGAAATCCTTGGAAGCCAAGCTAGGAAACATACACTAGTGATTGACGTCGTCTTTCAATATTGCAGGGCTTTGGACAGGAGCAAAGGGAGTGGCTTCAGTTCTAGCAGATCAGAGAAAATACAGTGCTCAGCTCAGGCAGAGGTTGCTATGTTGGGGAAATGGCAGGGAATGTGGACCTTTAACACTGGCAAGAATACAATAACTTTCCTTGGTTTAAGTAGCTGAAGATTTTGGATATCAATGGCACTTATAAACCACTGTGTTTGAAAGCTTGGCCAATAGTGAATGGCATTGTTAAGGGGTGTGACCTTGATGGAGGAATTGTGTCACTGTGGAGGAAGGCTTTGAGGTTTTATATGGTTTATATGGCACAGAGTCTCCTGCTTCTTGCGGTTCAAGATGCAGAACTCTCAGCTCCTTCTCCAGAGTCATGTCTGCCTGCATGCTGCCATGCTTCCTGCCATGATGATAATGGACTAAATCTCTAAAACTGTAAGCTAGCTCTAATTAAATGTTTTCCTTTCTAAGAGTTTCAGTGATCACAGTGTCTTTTCACAGCAGTAGAAATACACACTAAGACAGAAGGTTGGTACCAGGGACTGGCTATTGCTGTGATCGGCCTGACTGTGCTTTCCTTCTTGGAGGAATGTGGATTTTGGAACATTGAATAAGAAAAACAGTAGAATGGTTTAAGTGGGCATAATTGGCCATACTCACAGGATGGATGACTGTGGTACTGAGAGTAATTTGAACTGTGGGTTCCTGGCTCAAGAGATTTCAGAGAAGAAAATTTTAGTATGTTGCTTAGAGACTGTTCTTGTGATATTTTGGCAAAAAAAAAAAAAAAAGTGCCTGTTTTTTTTTTTTTTTTTTTTGTCCTTCTTTGAAGTTTATGCCTGAGGCTTAACTAAAACATTTTGGATTAATTGCATTGGCTAATAAAATCTCAAAACAGCCTAGTATGCTTTCATCATGTGACTATTAGTGTTTATTCTAATGAAGATTTACAAAGAGAAGGAGCAAGCCAGACATGGAAAAAAAATAAAATGTACAATTTGAGGAGTTATGGAACACCAGGAAGTGGAATGGAGCTAATTCATGTGTTCAAGAGATAAGCAGATTAGGAAATGAAATAAAGGGTGAGGTGACCTCCTGATAATATGCTACCCAATAAAATTTTTAACTAATGAAAAGGAATTAAAGAAAAGTTTAGAGCTGGGCGTGGTGTTGCCTTTAATCCTAGTACTCTGAAAGCAGAGGCTGACAGAGATATAAGTTCAAGTTTGGGTTTCTATTGTGGTGAAGAGACACCATGACCGTGATAGCTCTTAAAAAAAAAAAAAAAACATTTAATTGGAGCTGACAAATGTTTCACAGGTTTAGTCCATTATCGCAAGATTGAAAAGCTGGCCCTACAGTGACACACTTCCCCCAACAAGGGCACACCTCCTACTAATGCCACTTCCTATGGACCAAACACTCAAAAGCATGAACCTATGCGTGCCACTCCTACTTAAACCACCACATTCAATTCCCTGGCCCCCAAAGGCATTTATCCATAACCTAAAGCAGAAAGGCATTCACTACAGCTTCAAAAGTCTCCATAGTCTATAACGGTCTCAATTCTGTTTAAAAGTCCAAAGCTCAAAATGTCTTGAAATTCATGCAATCACTTATGGACTCAAGCTTTGCCTAGTGCAGTACATAGTCTATAGCTGCGTGAGGAGCAAGATGTAGAACTCTCAGCTCCTCCAGTACTGTGTCTGCCTGCATGCTTCCATGCTTCTTCCTAAGATGACAATGGACTAAACCTGTGAAACATGCCAGCCCCAATTAAATGTTTTTCTTTATAAGAGTTGTCATGGTCATGAGTCTCTTCACCACAATAGAAACGCAAACGAAGACAGTGGGAGACAAATCCACTATACTTGTTGGGTAGATTTGATGGGCATGCTTGGTATGTTATGAAGTCTTAAGGACAAACAATGCACTTAAACATTGTTTGTTAGATATTCTTAATGCTGTGCTTGTAGACTTTGCATACTTTGCTGTTGGTGTGCAGAATATGACCACAACATCAATAAGCATATAAAACTTCAGAAATCTATAAAGCCCACATTAACTCTGCAGAAGTGGAAAACTTAAATTTGACCGTTTATGCAAAAGTTTAAAATGTCTTCAATTTCCCTTCAGAAACGACTGTCACAAGTTTGGGAATTTTAGGTAATGCTAATGGGAAAGAATACTTGCATTGATTCTTATTATAAGGAAAAGACCTTTTAATCTAGCTTCTCTGTTTCCATTTAAATGAAATTCCACATTAAAAAGTCCTTATCTAGGCCATCAAGAGTGATGGTAAGATCATATTATGGAATCTTCCCCTGATATTAGGAACGTAGCCCAGAGCCACTGTTATCTCCTGTTGCTGTAGTGACCTGTGAGTGATATCCATCTCCTAGACATTTTGATGGATCATTAATCAACTTTGTGTTGATTTATACTTGTTCAAATGGTAAATTTTTATAATACCAGCCCATTAATTTGTCTTTTAATGTAATGGAACTTTATTTAGTCAAGCTTTTACTTTCTATGATGCTTGCTTTAAAAACAATAGATTATTTCTGAGTTTCCAATTTGAGATGTGTAATACAACATTTCCGTTACTTATGCATGATTGCACAAATACATAGACAGTAGAAAAAATTGGTGACAAACAGAATAATATTGGTTATATTAATCACCATTGTAAGTGTGTATTTCATCTAAAATACGTATGCGAGAGGGGGAAGGCTGAGAGAGGTGAAAAAGAGAAATAGAGAGGGGGAGAGAGAGAAAGAGAAAGAATGAAAATATGGAATAGGGAAAAAGGAAAGTGAGAAGGTGAGAGACAGGCTAAACTAAATTATTAAAAACTGATAATAAGGATGTTCCACTTTATTATTTGAAAAATTCAGATTGTAAATGGTCTAATTTTGTGAAAATTCTTGTTCCAGAACTGGTTTGACAATTTTTTGAAAGTCATTACTTACAATGTTTTTGAATTCCTCATTCCTTAACACATATGTGGCTAACATTATGATGTATTACCATTTGTTAAGAATTAAAAACAATGATCTTCAACAGCTTCACTGTCAGCAGAAAGTGATGGTTCCTGCAGATCTGACAATACATTTAAAAGCTGTTTCTTTCTTATTTATTTATGCTACTGGAAAGTTACGTGTTCAATTACTCTTGGAATAACATGAAACAGCAAATACAGTCTTGCCCATGCATGCCCCATCAGGAAGCACCTTTAAATGATGCACTTAGTACTGCAGTTCCTTTGAGAGACTGTTCAGCTGACAGGCGAAAGACAAAGTAAAGTTGTTCCCTTCTTTTATAAGAATGTGAAGCTAGTTATGCAAATACAAATACTTTATCCCATTGTAATAGGCAACATTTCTTCATAACTTAAAAGACTAATCTCCTGATGTTTTTATTTCTCTCAATACAGCTTTCTGTAAACTATTCAGAATATAACCTCTCTTGAATTTTACAGTGTGTTATTATTTCCAAAATGTTTACTGTTTTGAAACGAATTGTCATTTTATGTTTTAGGAATATACAATAGATGTTTTCTTTCGACAAAAATGGAAAGATGAGCGTTTAAAATTTAAAGGTCCTATGAATATCCTTCGACTTAACAATTTAATGGCTAGCAAAATCTGGACCCCAGATACTTTCTTTCACAATGGGAAAAAGTCGGTGGCTCATAACATGACAATGCCAAACAAGCTGCTTCGAATCCAGGATGATGGGACACTGCTCTACACCATGAGGTATGTTGTTGAGACATGCTGCAAAGACTGTGACACTGTGCACAAGCAGCTGGGCAAGGTACCACTAATCAGAGCACAAGTGGAACATCTTCCTAAAATTACCCAATAGCTCACATTATGTTTTATAAAAGTATGGACTTTAAGTAATTATAGTGAATTTAATTTTAAGCTTGAAAGTCTCCTGGTTATTAAAAATTGATATTTCTGGTATTCTCTGCATTCCATTTTAATTAAAAAAAATTTAGTATATGACTAGAAATTTGTTTGCAAAAGCGTGCAATTTGCCTTTCTGTATCCCATCTTGTAGCATCTGCAATTTTAAATGATTTTTAAGTACGTATTTTAATCTGTATGTAATGTTCCATTATACATAAAAAATTCATCATTTTTATGTATTAACTAAATTGGTTAAATGAAATCATGTATTAGGCCTAACCATATGATATTAGTATTTTATGATTGGAAATAATGATGTAACATCAATTTCATGCAGTTCATTCTCTCTTGAAGATCTAGAAATACATGCAGCTGTTGCTCATTACAACTACCTTTTAAGTATTCTGATGAATATTTTAATACCAATTAACTTAATGACATAGACTTAAAAATTATAAACCTAATAAAATGAGGTTGATTCCAAAGTTAATGATTAGTGAAGAATTTGAAAAACAAAATGTTATTAGTGTTATATGCACACAGACATCATTCTCCATGCATTTGATGTCTTATAATGTTATATGAAGAGTTAAGTACTACATTTTAGCAATTAAAGCTGTTTTGTATTGTGCCTAGAGGGAAACAGGAAACAGGAATTGAGGACTGATTTCTAGGTGACCATTGCCTACAGTAGAGTTATTCTTTCTCCTGTTTTTGAATACTTCAATACTTAGATGTTACAGTCTTAAGACTTTATGTTTCAACCATTTATTTCTAAATATTAACGTCCAGAGATTATATAATATTAAGAACGGTTACAGAGTGTTCTATTTGTATCCTGTGTGACTTTTATGCCAGGTTGGCTGATGACTGCCTCTTTCTCAGCTCAATTAGAACAGACTTTTCTTTGAGTTCCAGTTAGTTCTTGTTTATTCACTTTGCTTTTGTATGAAATGGAAATAATTAGAAATGTTCTTCATAATAGATTTTATCTGGTTAGTCTTTTCTATGATCTATATTATGGTCAGATATAGCAATTATATATTTAAAATTACTAGACTTGTACCTCTATTTTAGCCAGGAATTGCTGTGAACAATGTAATTTTAGGTGATACAGCTATCTATATCTTATGTATGTCTCAATACATATCTTCCTATTTAGCATAAGATACACATTCAAAAATGGCATGTCTTTAAGGAACCATATACTGAAGTAATACATAAGCCTTTCTCTATATTTGATGATACAATGACAAAAAGTCACCATTTACATAACAGAGCTTTCAGAATCTTCAGCTATTAAATATTGATGGTGATGTTAATGGCAAACCTCTTTTCAAATACATATATAATTTATTTTTATTGTGTTTAAACCTCTGTAAGCCTAATATAGAGCTCCAATTCTACTAAAACCAGTAACAAGTGATTTATCTTGACTAGCAAATCTACTTAAACCAAGAGTGGAATTTTGGCTTCTAGGCTTACAGTTCAAGCTGAATGCCCAATGCACTTGGAGGATTTTCCAATGGACGCTCACTCATGCCCACTGAAATTTGGAAGCTGTAAGTATAAGGATAAAAGTATGTTTTAAGTCAATAATGCCACCAGTAGTCAACATCTCTGCTGGCTCACGCAGTTTCTTCTCCTCTTATGGAATGCATAATAAGTGACCTATGGGATGCAGAAGTGAAAGCCATGGTGGTTGCCCTCAAGGAACCAGCTGGAGTATCCCATGGCTCACTCAAATATTTTCATCCATGTTTTTCAGTTTAGAACATCATTTCTTTAGCTACAATAAAAAAAAACCTATGTGTTATAGTTTGTGTATAAAACCAAATCAGGGACTATTGTAGAACCAGTTCTATACTTTATTCATATTTTCTCCTAAGGCTATCATTTTTAAAATGTAAATTTTTTTTTCAGTTTAGAATGAATTATATATGACAAATTCTACCGTTTGCTTGCTATTTGACTGTTATTTGGGCCAGAAAAAGAGATAAAGCCCATTCTGTTGTCTGTCTACCGTTTACCTGATGGGAGAAGCTCTTTTTCTTTTTAAAATACATTTAATAAAGATGACAAGATTGGAAGGTTACACATCAGTGTCTTCTGTGCAGATAGAACATCTCTAAAAGTTTCTGTGCCTCTGGCCATTCTCCGGGTCACTGGGTTGTATCTTATATGTCAAGCAGAAGCATTCACACTATGGAATAATGGAAAGTGCGAAGTCAGGTCATCTTTCTGGGCCCACAAGACACCCCAGGAAGTTTCAGGATTAATTCATCAGTGTAGCTTAGCAGCTGCCTTCTTTCTGAAGATGCCTTCTTCCCTGACCTTCTTAGAAACTGTGCTTTTTCTGATATCCCATTTTTGTGCATTCTGAGCAGCTTTAGGCTTTTCTTTTACTTCTGTGAAATAGAAGTTTCCACTTCTAACCTGATTAACTGTACTGACAGACTGAGTAAGGAAGCGTGTATCTTCTCTCAGACTACCAACTTGGTGAAAATAGAACGGTCAATAGAGAATGTAGATTCTTCTATTGATTTGAGGATGCCAGTTTTGTGGAGAGGTTCAAGCTTGTTTGCTTTGTATATCCTTGTAGCAGCTGTCAGTCCTTAATTTTCTCTGAGAGCATCCTCTGGGCTTAACCACAAGCCTTTCTTTATTGCCATGGGAACCATCACTTCAAAACTGGCATTTCTTCCAATATTATTTAAGATAGTCAGTCATGTTATACAACGTAAACACAGTGTTGAGAAAACCAGAGCAGATGCAGCGGAGAGGCTCATTTGCATTGCATAAGTGACATTAAAGGCAAACTTGAAAAGCTTTGGCACCCAAAAGAATTTCTGCAAGATGCAGTAATGATGTGGGAAGGACAAGTGTTTTCAGTAGATGAGGTATTGTTACTATGACATCAGATGTGAATGACAAGATGCCGCAACACTGAAAATAAGATAAATTTGCTTGGAAGGGTTTGATTTCAAATTGAAAGCTTTACAGAGTGTAGCTACAAAGTAAAAGGGTGTGAGTGCCTGAGAATATTATAGTTTGCTCCATCCAGAATGCATGTGGCCAACACACAAAGTTTCTGGCCTTATTCTTTCTCTATGTAATTATTGCTTACTTTTTATTTTGCTTTCTTTACATTCATGTTCTGACACATAGCACAAGCTGTTTCTCTATCTCTTACTTTTCTTTGTGTATAGCAAGTGCTTGAGGCGTCTGTGTTAGCAGTGTGGACAGCAGTGTGGAGGGAGAGAACAACGCTGGCACAGAATAAGTTTGGCAGAAGCAACCGTGACATTATCTTGTAGCTATTTCTTGCTCTGTTTTAGAAGTAGCACTATTCTAAAATAATTGAATTTCTGGATCTTTGTCATTCTCCTCAAATAAAAGAAGCCTCTTTTCTGTATTCATGCAATTTAAAGTTCCTTATTGTTTTACTGTTATCACTGTATCGCCTTAGATCTTTATACGTTTATTGTTTCCTTTGACTTGAAAGTTCCTGAGTGTGATTATTGCAGTACTCTCTGTGGGAGTCCCCCCCCCAAAAAAAAAACCTGAAAACTTACATTTTTATAGGATAAAAGTTAATAGTTTAAAATTATTTAAGAATATACTTGTTGATTACTGGGTTTAAGCCAGTGAGTATGCATGTGTATAATGTAGACTAGTATTCAAACATATATTGCTTAAATAAGTTAAATATATTCACTCAACGAAATCCTCATTTCAAAGTGGGATTTATAAAGCAAGTTGTAAAACAAACTGCCTTCTCCTTTTCAAAATGTGTTTTGTTTTGTATTCAATTTTGTGTATGTGTGTATGTGTTTGTGCATTTCTGTGGGGTAAGTACACACGAGTGCAGACACTGACCGAAGCCAGAAGAGGGCATCAGATCACTGGGAGATGGAGTTTCACGAAATTGTGAGCCCAGCTAGTGTTGGTGCTGAGAACCAAACTCTGGTTTTCTGCAGGCGTATTACCTGCTTTCAACTGCTGAGCCATTTCTCCAGCCTGTCGTTTGCACTTATACTTTATTAATAAACATAGCCATGGCCTCTTGACTTACCTATTGGTTTGAGCACAAGAGGGTGCATCTGAGCCACATTGAATTATATTCTGTTTCTTGTCCTATCACAACTGTAAAAAATATACAAAAGACATTTAGGCTAGTTAATGAAATGCAGCAAATTATTTTAATAGACATATAAAAGATCGATCTTTTTTTGCAATGTGTTCATGAACTACTACCAATTTACACAGCTTAGTCATAATCTAACAGGAACAAATTGAGAACGTCAATCAGATAGCCTTTGCCCATCTGTATCTCATTATTACTTACAAGAATATCATCACTTTTATGGACTTTCATTTCTGTTAGTTATTTCTAATGATGAGATGAAAATTCAAGCAATGTTTGTTTGATATTTTAAATTGTGCAGCACTAGAAATGCTCTTGTAGAAGGGACCATCATATTTACTCATGAGGGAACCAAAACAAGCCACTTGATGAACTATAAATGAATGCTTAGTTAACTACATTGCTAACTTATTGCTTAATGTTTTCAGTGGCATGACAAGTGATTATTTCATTGAAATTAGCTAATTGGCAATTTAGACTCTAGAAAAACTCCATTTCATATGTGAAAATATATGAATATTTTCTATGAAAGTACATACAAACACACCTACAAATATGAATATATATACACACCTATTTTTAGAATCCTATTTCAAATATTGTTAAACGTAATTTATTTGAGGATGTATAAATCCACGGATAAATATAAGGAGCATTTCATTGATATTAGTATTAGTAGCAACATTCAAAAAGCCGTATATTATTGAATACCATTAAAAGACCATACAGCTAATGACAAACATACATATTAATATCCATTGTGTTGCACCTGATACTTGAATGGAAATCAAATTAGGTCACAGACACAAGCTCAAGTTCACTAATAGAAACACCTCAGTACCATGAAACTATGTGCAAAAACTTTTACAGAATAAATAAATAAATAAATAAATAAATAAATAAATAAATAAATATGATTTCACGTCTCATGGAGACCTGACCAGTCCTGTTTCCTCCCTGGTTGTGAATATCAGCATCATGCCAAGTTTTGTTTCCCACACTGCCACATAGAACCCACAGGGCAGGGAACCCTGACTGCTCTTTGGGCTGACGAGGGAGGGGGACTTGATTGGGGGAGGGGGAGGGAAAGGGGAGGCGGCGGTGGGGAAGAGACAGAAATCTTTAATAAATAAACAAATAAATAAAAATTAAAAAAAATAAAAACGAAAAAAAAAAAGAAAACAGGACAAAGTTCTCCAAAGGTTGACAGTAGAGCAGGAATTATCCCTGTCATATTTACAATTGTAAAGAGACTCTCTGCATAGAGATAGGGGCTCTCAGATGTTACAAAATAGTACGCTTACAAGGACATAGAAAATATTGCATAGAGAATTGATAGTGCCAGATGTATGACCTCTGCTCAACTCCAAAGGAAGCTCATTTCTGATAAGGTCTTCATTGTGGTCAAATACATTTTCTCTTTCAATTAATTCTCAACTTAACTGGAATATACTATATAATTGTGGTCTCTGACGCTGGTATTCATTAATTAACTCATAAATGAATATGTTTGAAAATGCATCTATAATGTGATGGAGGTATATAATCTTCCGCTTGATTTTTTATGCCAACAATTAATTCTCATTGTTTTAATTAAATGCCTTCATTCGTGATAACTAAATTCATTATCTCTTAACTAAATAATTTGAATTTATGGAAAACAAAGCACTTTGGATTATAATTTTTATCATATGGGTGGTCACCGTTTTAAAATAAACTATGTAATACCTTCATTGCTTATTTTCACAATGTCTTCCTCAGCTACTTCAGCACTGAGGGAATGTTATGATCATCTTGAAAATCAATGATTTTGTTTCTGCCTCTAAAGAGAATTTTACTCACCACCTCTCAAAGTGGTACCAACGAAAACGGGTCCTTGTTCATTATTGTTTTTTCTGACCCTCTTTATCCCTATAATTATAACCTTATAAATTCAAAGTACACATTTTCCTCTAAATCTGTGATCTCTAAATGTTTATTTTTGGATAAATATTGATTCTATTAAGTCTGCAATGGTAGACCAATCATTCTGTTAGTGTTTCTTATTCAAATGTCTATAACATTTGTTTTTCGTTTCTGACAGATGCATACACAACCTCAGAAGTCACTTATATTTGGACTTATAATGCTTCTGACTCCGTTCAGGTTGCTCCTGATGGGTCTAGGTTAAATCAGTATGATTTGCTGGGTCAGTCAATTGGGAAGGAGACAATTAAATCCAGCACAGGTTAGTAACATTTTCTAATAAAATCTAATGTCCCACCCCCCCAAGATTAGTAGGTTAAAACGATAAAAAAAAAGTCAGAAAATTGAAAACATTTTACCTTTGAGCTCTGTGGACTAACAGCACAAATTATTTGGAAGCTTTTTGAGACATTCGTAATCAAAGACAATTCTTTTTCTAAAGCAGGTACTGCGACAAGATTCCGAGGAGATTCAAACTTGCATGAGTTTCAGAAACCGTGTTTTAAGACAAACTTAACTACTGCACACTTAAAAATATCATCTTCTCAGATCAGACAACTTTATCATTTTCCTTCAAAGTAGTGATACCTATTTCCCTAGTTTTCTTATTCTTTTTCTCCTATTGTGGATAAATTATGATTGTTCAACCCTTGATTTCTGGGTAATTGCCCCTGGTCTGCATGGAAAGCGCCTCTTTTAGGCCACTCTCAGTAAAGAAAAAGGCAGCTGTGTAGAATAATTATCTTCCATCTGGAAATAATTAAGACTGTAGGAGAAAAAAAAAGAAGGTAAGTATGAGAATTAGATAAAAACTGACGGGAGCAAATTACAGCAGGCATATGGCGAGAGAAAGTCAGAATTGGTGATGGAGTTAAAGAGAAAAATCTGGTCCAAAGGAGCAGTGTCAGCAGCAAGACCAGTTACTAGTGTTTTTAAGGTCCAGGACGGATGGGCAATCTGCATCCAGCACGTAGGTTGTACCAGTGGACAGGTGGAACACAAAGCAATAAGATAAACTACTAGCAGAGTTATTAGAATCTTGCTGGGGAGTGGGCATGATCCAAAGAGAACAATGAACACCATGTCATGGAGCATAGCAGTGCAAGGTGGTTGATACTGTGCAATTCTTTCTAAAATACTCTTTTTCTAATGAGACATTTCTATTTTTTATAGCTTTCACGAAACCTATGTGACCATTTCTTCCTTTTTTTATCAGGAACTGTTATTCTTCTAATCCCTTCCATTTCCAAATTGTTCTGACTATTGACAATTACAGTTCCTTAAGCTTCTTAAATTCTCCTTCCAGGTGAATATACTGTAATGACAGCTCATTTCCACTTGAAAAGAAAAATTGGGTATTTTGTGATTCAGACCTATCTGCCTTGCATCATGACTGTCATTCTCTCCCAAGTGTCATTCTGGCTGAACAGAGAATCTGTGCCTGCAAGAACTGTGTTTGGTGAGTGAATGCCTGCAGTACAGTACATTTTGTTTCCAAGTGTACTTCCCAAAGTTTCTCTCTTTTGATGCTTTCCACATCAATGCCTTGTGATATGCAGTTCAGGAGATGTTGATTCTACTTTATAGATGAGAAAGCAGAGGTTCTGAACTATAAACTGTAATCAGTACCATACTGTTATTAAAGACTTAAATTACCCAAATAACTTGGAGACACATTTAGTTTTTTATTTTATTGTTATTTTTCTGTTTAATCACACTGCTTTTTAATGTTCTTCTCTATCCTGTCAGATGAAAGTGTTTTTTGAGATCTTAATTCAGGGTTGAGGAATATTATCTCTAAAGGTTTTCCTTGTTAACATTTTTTCTTTCTTTCTTTTTAAATGAAAAAGAGTGATGTTAAGAGAACATGGAAAACATTGCTCTAGACTTTGTTTACTTCCATAGGGACATTTGATTTTCTTAATTAAAAATGGGGAAGTTTTCAGATGTAAGAGGGGAATATCATGATATTAGACTTTGTGTATTTACTTTCGTGTTGTTTCAAAATGAAGAAATGTAACCTATGCATTTCAGATGAGAGGAAAAGTCATTCATTTAAGTGTATTTGATACCACCACTTCTGATCTTCTGTGACATGTCTGAGATTTATGACTCACATAACCAGGGCCACTCAAAATTCAAGTTCTTAAAACAATGAAGGAGATTTTGACAATATAGTCTCTTACATAGTAAAGATTGAACACATTCTATAAAAATATATTATTTTTTGTGTCTTTGTGTTTGTGGTACTCTCCTTCAGTTATCAAAGTGTTGTTGAGAACTGATGTTAAGTACTGTACCAGGAACTGGGAATGCGAAACACGCAATATATAGTTCCGACATGCAGGTGGTTTGGTTAGTGAATGAAAGCAGCATAACTAGAGAATAATGGCAGTGTGGGATGACCGCTTTATCGCAGAGGCACGTCCACCCTGCTATAGAAACCAAAAGTCAAAATTAATGACTAAAATGGTGATTTAATACTTGAGACATGGCTTAACAATATTGTGAGCAGAAAGAATGGGCAAAATCATAGCCGAGGAGAAGGAAATGTTCAGTGATGTTGAGGGCATGGTATGTTTGGTGACAATTATTTTGGTGATGGACTATGAAGTTACAGGTAAAGATCTAGTGTAAGGCCCAAATGAGAAAGCGTTTCAGTTCATCTTAACAGAATGAACTTTCAGCTGCATAATAGGCAATCCTGTTCAGTATTCTGATGCCATGGCGTTGTTAAAGGTCTAAGAAAAAGGCTGGCTATTTATTATTTTTTAAAATATTTTTTATTGAAAAAAAAATTTCCGCCTCCTCCCCGCCTCCCATTTCCCTCCGCGTGTCCCTTTTTCCTCCTCCTCCCCCCCCTCTCCCCCCCCCCCCCCTCCCCTCCCCCCCCCCCCCC